CACACCGTACAGCCTAAAGCCTAAACTCTAAACCCTGACGGTAGAGCTGAGGCACACGTGTCCAGCAGCCATCTGACGAGGTCCCATCTCGGCATTTTAGGGTTTAGGGTGTAACGGCTGTTTCCGGCCCACACTGCCTGGGTTTAAGCTCATTGTAACCTTTTTCTGTTGGATCCTAGCATAAGGAACTATATAGAGTTTTCATTGAATTTATAGACACCTCACAGCAGAAAAAAACACATTAAGATAGGGTCTTCAAACGAGGTTGTGTGTCTGACGCTTGAGAGCTCCACGGGCTTCGGCTGCAGAACTGAGACATATGAGCCCCTGAGCCAAGTAACAGTGTCAGGCGACTTGGTAGTTTTGACGACGGGGGAAGTCTCGAGACCTGTCGGGCAAGGCAGTCCCCGTCAGCCTCTGCCTGAAGCAACATTTCTCTCAGTTTGGGGTTTCGGGGTTATTTGGGCCCTAAACCCTAAACCCTCAAGGTTTAGGGCGCTCCTCCAAAGCCACTGTGTCTTGCTGCTTTTTGGCTGTCTGGTGCTTCTCCAACGCCAACTCTAAATTTCTGAAGGAGCTTCTCCGCCAAGTCGAGGCACTGCCCTCACTGCCAAAGCCAGCTAGGCAGCTCAAACTTTCCCCGCAAGCCGCGCGAAGAGTTCTGAGGTTCAGGGTTGGGTGTTGGGGCACATGGGGTTTGGAGTTTACCTATAGTCTCCATTGTAGGTCCTTTTTTGGTTAACCAAATATTTATTTTAGGATCTTAACCATAAACCAGGTCAACCAACAAAAAGGAACTACAATGGAGACTATCGGTACCTTAGAAGTAAGCTCTGGGATGGGAGTCGTAAGCAGCCACAAGAAAGGCCCTCCTCTTGGCTAAGATCTCTCTGAGTCTAAGAGGAATCTATGAGGCACCCAACCCCGAAACCCTAACCCTTAAACCGTGACTACTTGTCCAGTCCCTGGGGGGGGGGGGGGAAGGCTTAAGGTTAAACAGTAAAACACTCCACCAACTTAAACTCTTAACCCGAAACCCTAAACCTGAAACCCCTGACCCTGAACCCGAAAACCCTGAATTTCTATACGAATATATAAGGGGATCATAAGGAATAGTGCTGCTAATTACTCAGACCCCTGGTAGCATCTTAGGCTCAGGGTCACTGCAGACGTTGTGGACATCTCGCTGGTGCTTTCCCTGACGGCTGGGGGATGAGCCAAATCTCATCTTAAAGGTCGACTAGGTTCCCCAGTGGCCCCTTAATAATAATATTAATATTCATGATGAATAATAATAACAATAATAATGGCATCCTTTTTCCTACTATTGGGTTTTTATAATGGAACCCAAAAAGAAAAAGGGCAAAAGGGTACTACTGGGGAACCTAGTCGACAGCAGGGCAGGGACCCTGCCTGAAGAATCTCTCTCTTGGGTCTCTGAGTAGGGTTCACCCAAATCCGAATCTGCTGACCCCTGTACATCCTAAGCCAGCAACCCGACAATCATCGAAAGTTCAAGCCTCAACTTAAACCCTAAACCCTACACCCTAAAACCCTGCACCCTACACCCTAAAACCCTAAACCCTAAACCCTAAAACCCTAAACCCTAAACCCTAAAACCCTAAACCCTGAACGGACATTCCATGGACGAGGAAGCTTCAGGGACCTCCCCCCCTCACCCGAAACACCAAAACCAAAAGTAGGGGCCTTAATGATTAGAATAGGGTTATAGTCTCCTTTAGAGTATAGTATAATAAGGAACCACCAAAGTAGTGTTGATACTTATTTAGGCTCCTTTAAACCCTAAACCCTAATCCTTAACCGCCCCCCCCCACCCCTACCCCTAAACCCTAAACCCTAAACCGTCCACACTGAGCCCGAAGCTGCTGCGCCTTGGCAGCCTGTGCAAGGATGGTCCCAGTCAAGCAAAAGAGTGGATTTAGGGTGTAGGGTTGGGGGTTAGGGTTTAGGGGTTTAGGGGTTAGGGGTTATAGGGCTTGGGTTTAGTGTTTATAGGGTTGAGGCTGGATATAGACCATAGTAGGGTTGTTTCTAAGGGCTGCTATAAGACTGCAAGAGCTTACAGAGTCACTATAGGGGCTTTTATGAGGGCATAAATATATACGGTCGCTATACGTGCTACTAGAAGGGCGCTCATTGGAGCTTGATGGGGTTTCTGTGGGGACTGAACAAATCAAAGGGAGGTCTCTATCAGACGAGGGAAGCATTACAAGTTTTCGTCGGTTTGGGTTTTCGGGTCTTTTGGTTCAGGGTTCAACGTATGGGGGTGTGGGTTTAGGGATGTGAGGGCTGCTAAGAATCATTTCCGTGTGCGGGGCGTCGGGGAAAGACAGGTTCATGGCCATGGGCCCTTGGGTAGACTACTTGGAGGTTCATGGGTAGTTATAAGTCGACTCATAAGTCCCCTAATATGAGTTATAAAGTTATAACTATAGTTACCTTTCTTATAACCTACTTATATCTACCATGAGCCTCCCAGTATCAAACGGCCATGGATTGAGCTGTGCAAAGAGCCAAAGCATCCGTGACCGGCGCCCAGCCGGGGCGCGAGCTGCAGCAAAATATTCCTGGTAGGATTGCAGGAAAAGCCGCTGCCAAAGACGAGATAAAGTCAGCATCCGGCGACTTGGCCAAGCTTTTGGGTGTGCCTGCCATCCGGCGACGCCCTCGCCGCTGCTCTTCAATGGAAGAGACCATGATCATCTGGGCGGATTCGATTGATTCTGATTACGCTATTAGCACTAGATCGGGACTGAGTACCGAACAGCGGCATCGGACGTTCGATTGGCTCGAGACACCACTGTCACGAAATCACGACACTGCAAGACACAGCGAAGGGGGAAGATGGCGAAGACTAAACCTCAGATTTAGGGCTTCGGGTAATTTCAGTTTAGGGCTCTAACCACAAAGCACGAAACCGTAATCAAGCCCCGAAGCCGTGACCGTAAACCCCGGAACCGGACCCTCAAACAGTTGGACATGTGGAAGCTCAACTAAATACCCAGCACCAACCCCCAAGCCAACGGTTTAGGGTAGAGGGTTTAGGGTCTAGGAACCCATATTCCAGGGTCACTGCAAATAATGAGGTATACCCCGGTAAACACGAAACAGGAGAAGGGGCCTTGCTCAGCAACGTCTCGCCGACGTCCCTGGCGACGGCCGCGGCTGTCTGCAGCAAGCATGAGTCGATTGGGTTTAGGGTTTAGGGTTTAGTGTTTAGGGTTGGGGTTTAGGATTTAGGGTTTAGTTTTTAGGCTTTGGGATTTATAGGGTTTCGGGGTTAGGGCTTGGGTGCACAGTGTAAAAAGGCTCTCCAAACGACAAACCTTAGCTTGAAAGCCCTACAACTTCCCTTCAGAAAAGCACCACTGTGACGAACCCCAGGTCCAACCAAGATGTTTGTTGCCGAGAACTGTACCTCTCACTACCAATACGCTCGAAATCTCCTAAAAAAGACCCTGAACGATTTTAGACAAGATCTCAGACAAACCTTGTAAAGACCCTACAAAGCCCTCAACCCTAAACCCTAAACCCCTAAACCCTGAACCTCTAAACCACTAAACCCTAAAAACGAATCGTAAACCCCTAAACCCTGAACCAACCCCTAAAGCCTAAACCCTAAACCCCTAAACCCCTGAAGAAACCCCTAAACCGTAAAGCCTAAACCCTAAATCCCAAAGCCTTAAAGCCTAAACCCTACACCCCGAAACCCTAGACCCTAATCAAACCCGTAACCCTAAAGCCCAAACCCAAAAACCCTAACTCGCAACTACCGAAACCACGGGAGCATCTAAGGTTTAGGTTTCAGGGCTTAGGGTTTACAGGGTTCAACGGTTTAGGGATTAGGGCTCTCGGGGTTTAGAGGTTCAGGGTTTGGGGGTTCAGGGATTTAGGGCTTAGTGCTCATATAAGGCTTAGGGTTTAACGGTATGGGTTTGTGGGCTTTAAGGGAATTCATAACGGCTTTTTTTAAAATCTTCAATGCTGTCGGAATTTTGAAGCAAACCCTAAACGCTAAACCCTAAACCCTGAGCCCTAAAGGCAAGGGTTGTTGCGTTGTGGGTTGCAGGGGTCTTCGGGCCTTCCTGGTTCAAGGCTTTAGGGTTTATAGGGCGTACAGGGTTTAGGGTTTGGGCTTTAGGGCTTTAGGGTTTTAGGGTTTAGGCTTTAGGGTTCAAGGTTTAGGGAACTTTGTAGGACTTTACATGATGTGCAACGTGCCACAAGGATCAAGGTTGCAGGGCCCCGACACCGTATTCACGAAGGCTGGCATGACGTAATCCCATCAGCCGACTTGCTGTGGCCTCGCACAAAGGTCCAAAGGTCCTCAGTCAAAGACTCCTCGAAGTTCGTGTACTCCGGGCTCGCCGCCCACCAGGAGTGGTTGTGGTGGTTAGTGACGATGGGGTAGATCACCATGCCCACCTCGTTGGCCTCCTTGCAGATCTCGGTGTTGTCGTCCACCAAGATGCTGCACCCTTTTTCCTTTGATTTGACAACATCGCAAACTTACTGAACTATGTCAAGAATTTAATGTCAAGATGCTCCCTGTTCGACATGCCATGCGTGGGCCAAAGAAGTGTCAAGGTGTGTTTGGCCAGCTGGTTGCCAATTGGCTGCATCTGATCATGGAACTGATCGTGCCACCAGGTCCTCTCGGTCTTCTCCACACTGTGCACCTCAATGCAGTACTTAGCAAACCACCTGCGGTCAAACGTACCGATCAGCATCTCCAACTCTCCGACCATGGCTGCCACATCCGTTTGGGCTGCCATAGCACAGGCAATGAGGAAGCACGGCAGGTGCCTTTTAATTGGTCCCTGGGCCTTCTCATTATAGCAGAATATATCCCAAAACCCTATTCTAATTACTAAGGCTCCTACATTACACAACAGCCCTCCCGGAAGCTGCAACTCGAAATTGCAATAAAGAACCAAGCCCCAACAACTCCAAACCGCTCAGCACCCGGGAGTGCGCGCCTGGTTCTGCTGCCACCACTGCCGGAACTGATTCATCACGTCCTCCTGCTGATACCCTACTGGAGGTTCATGGGTAGTTATAAGTAGGGCTATAAGTCTCATCTGTCGATGACGGAGCCCTTGACGAGAGTCACGAGGGCTAAGTCTTCGACCGGAACAACGTAGATAGACATGCTGTCGACCCGGTCTCTGAACACCCAGCCGGCAGCGTGTGCCCCTGGATAGACGTCGACGTCCCTGGGCAGCTGGACGGTCACCTCGGCTGAGGGGCTCCCGCCGCAACTAGTGCAGACGCTCAGCCCGAAGATGCCGCCGGTGCCCACCATCCTCTTGTGCAAGCCGCAGAGGCAGCAGCCGTACGCTAAGGCATCTTTGCTGCCGTGGTCAACTGCGCAGCTGACGTTGCCGCCGGTGAAGTTGACGATTGGGCAGCCGCCGGCCTTGCGGAGCCTGTCGATGAATTTCGGCATTCCGAGCCTATCCCAGTATTCGCAGCATTGGCCGCCTTCGAACCGAGCGAGTCGTCCACGCGCATGCTTGACTGCTCTGATGCAGAACTCGACGACGTCTGAAGCGCGAATCACGGCACTCTGATCTAGTCCGCAGACCGTGAAAGCGTACTCCTTTGACGCAAGCTGACTTGCGTCAGTGAATCTAGGCCTATCGTCGTTGCGGACGGTTTAGGGTTTAGGATTTTGGGGTTTTGGAGTTCTGGGTTCAGGGTTTAGGGTTTTGGGTTTTAGGGTTTGGGGTTTAGGGTTTAGGATTTGGGGTTTTGAGGTTTTGGGTTCAGGGTTTAGTGTTCAGGGTTTTGGGGTTTTGGGGTTTGGGGTTTTGGGTTTTAGGGTTTAGGGTTTAAAAATGGCTTGTAATTTGTAGTTACCTTACTTATAACCCCATTCATAACTACCCATGAACCTCCAAGTAAGCCCAAAACCCTACACCCTAAACCGCATACAGTTAGCTTCATGTAGAGCTCTTGTAAGGGCCTAGTTCAAGGACCTCTGGACTAGGGCTCAGGGCTTTTGCGGGCTTTCTGTCCTGAGCTGCTGAGTTCATACTTGGAGGTTTATTGTGTAGTTATACGTGGGGTTATGTATAAGTATGGTAACTATGGTTCTAAGCCATATTAGGGGACTTCTAACGCCACTTATAACTATCCATGAACCTCCAAGTAAGCACCAAAAAGTGTACACTTTCAGTTCTACAAGGGATCATACTATGCCAAAAAGTTTAGAGTGTGCTCATTCAGCTGCTCAGTGTCTCCTTCGGACTGCATTGACTTTTGGCTCTGGGCTCTGGGTTTCGTAGTTTTTGCAAGGGATGAAGGGCTAAGAGGTCTAGGGTGTTTAGGGGTGAAGGGTTCAGGGGTTAAGGGTTTAGGGGTTTAGGGTTTAGGGTTCCGGGTTTAGGGCTTAGGGGACGGACATGAGGGCTGCGGATGCGGAGCTTGGGCATCAAGATCGGGTTCAGAGCACCCTTCTGGTTCGGTTTGGGGGCTTATAGGGTTTAGGCTTGGTGTACATCCGCCCCATGTGTGAGAAAGGACCTGCAACAATAAAGAGGTTGTGCCAAAGGTGGAACAAGATGCGATTAACATCGCAAGCATACCTGAAGGGGTGGTTCACCTGTGACCTGCTGGATGTGAAAGTAAGCCCACTCTTAAACAAAAACACTTTAACATGAATCAAAACTGCAACTACCACGTCCCTAAACCCTAAACAAACTGACTCCCCCTAAACTTTAGACCCTCAACCCATTCAGCATTAAACGGCTTAGGGGTTTAGGGTTTAGGGTTTAGGGCTTAGGAGTTTAGGGTTTAGGGCTTAGGGTTTAGGGGTCTCAGAGGAAATCCTCACGGCTGCCGAAGTAGTCCAGCTCCCGAAACCGCGCATCCACCAGGAGCCCTGCCCGGGGCTTTGCTCTTTGGACCCCGCTGGCGCGTTCGGGTTTAGGCTTTAGAGTTTAGGGTTTATAGGGTTTAGGGTTGAATAAGGTCCAAATTACGGTCGTCTAACGCTTTGTAAGGGTGGATTGTCGAACCGATCTTTCTATCAGGGTTCTGTACAGGCTTTCGGGTGTGATGATTTATGGTTTAGCGCGCTGATGTATGAAGAGTTACACAAGCTTTTCGGGCTCAGGTATGAGGCCAAGTCGGTTCATAAAAGAACTCGCATTGGGAGGGGCTCGTCTCAGGGCCTTAAAGGACAAAAAAAGGGCTTTGGGATATAGCAGATAGCTACCCAGAGGCCCCCAAGTAGTTCCTTGTTGTGGTTTATATTGAGAATCCAAAAAGGTAACCCCAAAAAGGAACTACTGGGGGGCTTATGGGTAAGTTCATATTTTCACCTACTAAGGACTATGTATCGAGGTAACAGGAATCTCAAGAGACTCACACATAATGCAGCAGCTTGGGTTGAAACTGATTCGGCCGATATGTCTTGAGATGTTCATGGCTTCTGCCGATCACTGTATGGCCGAAGATTGAGGAATCGTAAAGCCTTCTTTAACAAATACCCTGCAACCAACCCTAAACCCTAAACCCTAAACCAAGGTCTGCGGCCTGAAGCCTTCGATGCCTTACCTGCTCGCGAAGCCGAAACCCTCAACCCCTAAACACCTCGCCCCGAAACCCAGAACCCCTACACCCCAGAAGCCCGGAACCCCCAAAAACCCGGACGCCACGAAGCCACAAAGGTGCCTAAGTAGACTTCGAGAAAAACGCCAGCCAGGTTGGGTCACCATGAAGACATGAAGTTTACGATGCAGGCCGCAGGGTTCTGCTTTCAGGATTTACAGGGTTATGGTTTAAGGTGCTTAGGGCTTAGGGTTTAGGGTTTAGGGGTTTAAAGTGCTTAGGTTTTTGGGGCTCTAGACAGAGAGCCCTTTTTCCCCGAGCTTCGTAATCAGGTTTGCAAAGAGCCCAATATCCCCTTGTTGAAGGCATATGATGTGGGTCCAGCGTATGATTTAAGCACATCCCCTAGATACAGGGTTTTGGGCTCTCTGGCATTCTGCAGTAACATAGGGATCAGAATATTTAGCAAGTCATATACACTGCAGGTCCTTAAACACATGTACGTCTACGATGTCAGACCATTCGAAAAAACACTGAGAAATGACAATATTTAGACATTGGATAGTTCTGCCCCCCTTATAGTCCCTACATATGCATCTACCATAGTAGACCACTGCACAAAACCCTATTCAGATAAACCCTAAACCCTTTTGATTCTAATAATTCTAACTATCATATACCCCTTAGTCCCTATCTACCTCTACCACAATCTTTCTAAATTTCTAGTGCTTACCCTTAACCCCTAAACCCTAAACCCTAAGGCCCAAAATGGCCCAAAAGCAGCTGGGGGCCTGAAACTCGCATTTTCCTCTCCAGCGCCTGTCCGGCGTGAAAGCCCGATGCTAACATCGCAGCAAGACTAAGTGAAAGGCGGTTTAGGCTTCAGGGTTTAGGGGTTTAGGGGTTTTAGCGGTTTAGGGGTTT